TGGAAAGTCATAGAATTTGCGGAAATTAGGAGTTGATTTCCACATAAGGCGTCAATGTTTTGTTGCGGATCCATAAATGGAAGAGTTGCGAAGTTTTGGCAGATGAGAGCTTTCGACTTGACAGAGTTGGGGTGTACCTGCAAGGTTAGTACTCCGACGCTCAACTTAATATGTGAATAATGAGAGATTGTTCAAATTGTGATTGAAACTTGTTACTTGAAATTACGTCATTATATATATATATATATATATATATATATATATATATATATATATATATATATATATATATATATATATATATATATATATATATATATATATATATATATATATATATATATATATATATATATATATATATGAGAAAAGAATAACTGACTCGTTGTCTTTTTGACGTGAAAAACGAAAAACCGTTGAATGTGTTTAGAACTTAAATTTTTTATAACCATGTACATGATATTCTATAAGTTATAGGAGACTTGAGTAATAATCTAGATACTCTATCTCAGGATGACTAAACCGGCTTAAATATGTTAAAATAAGAGGAGTAAGTTTTATTTTTAATTTTAAATATAAGTAAATTGTTGAAATTGGTGTTGTAGGACGGACGAGTATAATTGTTATTTTTGTATAATAATGCATTGAATCATCATAAAATACATGTAACATTTGGTGAAACTTTCAAATTGAAAATATCTTCAAATATAGTAATAGTAGCACTAGTATAAGAAAATGAAAATGATGTAACTTGACTAGAGAGTTTGTATTTTCTTCTTTCAGTGTGATAGTTTTTCTTGCTTTGTCATTTCATGATTTGCTAACAAAGTTGAAAAGATCAAACCTGGTGCTGACGGGGCAAGGGACCTTGGACATTGACAAGCCGACAAAGACATTCAAAAATGTGAGAGTTTGTTTTGCTGGCGTTACCACTCACAGGTCCACTATATTATGGTCAGCTACAACTTCTTAGTTATTGTACCTTACACGTGCAGTTTCTTTAACTCTAAACCGAGAGAGAGCTATTACACGTGTGAACGTTATTCTCAAACATAGGATTGTTTATCGAATGGAGTAACTCAATGATATGATACGGATTGCTACAATGCATTTGAAACTCAATGATATGATACGGATTGCTACAACGCATTTGAAACTCAATGATGTTTTATTAATATATACTATGGGTTTGAAATATTTTATATATATATATATATAAATGTTTATATATAAAATTTTCTATATAAGTTTTCAAGTAGTTACAAGAAATTATTATTATGCTTTTATAAATTACTTCCATATGTGCACTCTAGGTCATTTTGCTTTTATCAAAAAAATATTAATGAAATTGTAAAATTACATCTATTTTTTTGTTGTCAAATATTTTATTGATTAAATTCATCTTTTTAAAAGTGAATAATTGAGATGTCGCAAATTGAAATTTTTAAATTCAATGTTCTTAAATAACTATCAATTGAGTTGATTTATTTTGAAACTTATATATTTTTTTATAAAAATTTATATAGAATAGATAAAATGAGAAAATTTTGGATACAATTTTTTAAGGTAGTTTTTGTTAGATCTGTTCAAAATTTTATGAATTCTATTGATATAGAAATCAAGAACAGAACTCTAAAATAATTCTTATAAGTCGATATAGCATCAACTTGTATTTCTGAAACCATATCCGAATACAATTATGAGAATGAAGGCGAAAGCGCACCTAAATTTTTCGTTGAAATCGTTGAAGGTTTCAGATATGTGATCTTTTGATTTGTATAGTTCCTTAGGGTTTCTTGTATCTCCTCTAATGAGGATATAGAGAGAAAACCTCATCAACCTTATTTTGTTCGTACTCTACGAATGGGGACCATAACTCATTTAAATAATCCTATGATTATTTCTTAGTTTTCAATATTATAATTTGACCCCTCATCAAATTAAATATTGACTTACGATATCTACACAATAACCTAACATTTCACGACATTTATACTTTTAATCACAGACTTAATATTATATTAATTAGAACCCTTTAAGTATTGACTAATTAAAATAATGACACTAACACCTTAAATATTACATTTGTGACCCAAAATTCTAACAATCTCTCGATGAACACATATGTAACTTTAACATGTGTTAGACTTTATGAGCTCAAAATTCGCCATTATATTCTTTCAACATATCCAAAGTATTTTGTCCATTAGCCATGCCAATATACAGAATCAAGGTGGTTTTCATTATATCAATCATAACTAAACTCATCAATGATCACTGATATTGACGCAACTAAATGACATAGATTCATCATGAAGTGTGTAGCATGAAAATTTCATGAAGTTGGTCTTTATATGTCGATTTTCAACTGATCTTACTTTACTGTAGTGAGATAATTCAATAACTTTATTGTACAAAATGTAAACTACTGAAAATCAAACTTTATTAATTGGAAAATATCAAAAATCGTAGTATGCATACATATTACCAAACACATAACATAAAATTCATAATCGACTAACTCCCGCTAAACCAAAGACTCATCTAACGATAAAACACCCATGTGAGCAGTGTGCTCATGAAAGACATTAGATGGAAGACCTTTTGTAAGAGGGTCTGCTATCATAGAGTTTGTCCCCTAGTGTTTTATGAAAATCTGTCCACTTTGTACCCTTTTCTTAATAACTAGGAACTTGATATTAATATGATTTGACTTAGTTGAGCTCTTATTATTGTTGGAATATAGGATGAATGATTTGTTGTCATAGTATAACTTAAGTGGCCTTTCACTCCTGATCGTACCTGACCAGAAGGGGATCAATGATCTGCCACGCGTCGTTAATCTGCTAGCTGTCCGTCAAAGGTATGGAAGAGGAGAGGGAGTAGCTGAAACACACTCCGATACCAAAGTAAGTGACGAGCAGAGCGAAAGCAAGTACAGAGAGAGAGAGTAAGAGAATTAAGTATATAGAGAGAGTAAGAGAATTAAGTACAGAGAGGAACGAGGAAGCTTAGTTTCCCACAGACGGCGCCGCAATACCAAGACCGACAGAACACCCAGCTCGCGATGGGACGTTCACGCCGCGGGGACAGGTCCACGACCGTGGTCCACCCCCTTGACTGACCAGCCTCGGGCAACGAACGTCGAGCTCCACTCCCAACTTAGTAAAATATACATTAAAGCATAACAAACGTGCAAGCAAGGCGAATAGAAATATTTATCATGCATAAATATACGAGCACACACACAGACTTAGAAAGAAAAACAAGAAATTCCATAAACGGGCACAAACCCAGAAGTCAAAATATTACAATAAACATGCACAAACCCGGAAATCAAAATAAAGCATGGCGCGCAGGCCAAAAACTATCAGGCACGCAGGCCAAATGAAAATAAAAGGGGCACGCAGGCCACTATTCCTACTCTACGTCTTCCTCCTCATCACGGGCAGCGTGGTCCCCGTCCTCATCATCCGATCCTTCGGGCGCAACGATCTGACCGTCTTGGATCCGGTGAAAAAGGTGCCAATCCCGTCGCACCAGGTCAGGATTGACGAGCTAAAGTTGCTCGACAGCAGTTGGTCTGTGCCCGACGGGGAGGGAAGTCCTGCCCGACGAATCTTCTGCCCTTCAGTATGATCCTATTGGGCCTACTCCCAGTGGGCTTTGGGCCTGCCTGACAATGGGTAAGCGTCGGCCCAGTCCAGAACAAATTTCTTCCATAATTCGCAGCCCAGTAACAAGATTCCTCAGCTAAATCGCATGGTTGGATGCCTCATAATATGATTTCTAAGGCCTTGTGCTTGGTGAATTATGGACTGGGATGATTTTATTGGATCTAAAATGGAAATGATCTATGATAAAAACAAACCATGATAAGAGCGTACCAAGTGCAGGGATGTTGTATGACCCCCAAAGTGGGTTTAGTCGCCCAAAGTGGGCTTGACTGCCCGAAGTGGGGTTGGTCGCCTGAACTAGTATCCAAGAACTATTTCACTTAATTCACGTGGCTCATAAGGTGTTCAAGTAGTAACATCCTAAAAGTATCAGTCTAATGTCACCTCCACAATTTAAAAGAAGAACTGATTTCCCCTATTCCCACGTTCCTAATAAAAAAGTGAGAGAAATCATTTATCTTGGCCTAAGAATCCTCTATATAACTCAACTTGGATTGATAATAAAACATTCACAAATTTCAACCACCACATAAGCAGATTCTCTTTTAACTAATGCAGGTTTGAGCAAGTACACTGTCTTTAATCAATATATTTCAAAAGTTGATATAAAATTATTTTTCACCTAGCAAATTTATCAAAGCAACAAAGTGCAGAAATTCACCCGAATCTTTAAAAAAAAAAAACTCACTTTTCATTTAAAACAAAGGTACATGAAAGAAAGCAAATTGTCTTCCAACAATCTTCTATTTAACATCCAAAACTTTATGCATTATTCGGTGTATCAAAATGACATACAATATGTTTTTTTCCCCTTCCCTTCTTAACCACTGCATCTTATGAATGGATCTCACCAGAAAAAAAGAGATTAAAGATGACCATATCACCTTGTGAACTGAGATGACTAATTTTTTCTTGTGTCCATCAAACTTTATTCATGCTTTCTTGTGAAATTTTCTGCCCAAGATAAAAGATGTGTCTTCTTCATTCACATCTATCCTAAAGTATAGTAAACTATCGATCTTAAGACATTCTCTATCATTTTCTTAGTTTCTTAGTTGGCTTTAACTGCAAGTTGCCAACTTTTTTGTTTCGCATGAATTACTTATAACTACTCCGATATATTTTTTCATCACTTCTTTTTTCAACTACATCAAACTTTTCATTTCCTCTAAAGAGGAATTCAACCACTTTATCCATCTCAATCTCAACAACAATCCTTTCATCATCAACTTCCTCTTCAACATATTCCTTTTTATTTGAATCTTCATCATTTTTTTCAGGATTTTGGATTAATTTTCAACATACATATACATGTGAGTTACTCTAGGCCACTGCAACTGACTCTGATCTTACAGTCGTGTTGTTTGTAGAATTTTGATTAGTTTCTGAATTTCTAACACTTCTTTTGGATGAAGTCTTCCAACTTTTCTCTTTAAATTCATCAATCTCTATTTGTTCTTCTCTGCACTCTTTGCTACAAAATGGTGTGTTCCCTCTGCAAATTCACAAAATTCATTCAATATTTATATTAATTATATATTAAAAATTTTCATTAGATGTGAACTATTCAATGGATCTTTGTAGAAAAAAATAATTATACTTTCTATGACCCAAATGAAAGTTAAGTATAAAAAACTACACTTTTATGAATAAAAAGTAGAATTTTCATATGGGTCTGACTAAAAGATGAATTAAAACTGAAAATTGAGGTAATTAATTGATGACTCTAATTTACCTGTACATAAAGATGTCTTTGTTTTGGCCAAGATGTTTTCTACAAAGAAAACAAGCTTGGAGGAAGTGAGGTTGATCATAGAAATCTTCAGTTCCAGCATAGTAAAACATGCTAGATTTTGGAGAAGGATTTGAAGAAGAGAAGGAATAGTTAGAAGCCATAGAAAACCGAGTTGAGAAAGAGAGAGAGGGAGTTGGAAAAAGCAGGGAGCAGAAAAGAAGGAAAATGAGGAATTATATAATGAGAGGGTTACACAAAATGGACGGTATAGAGTAGAGCACATAGCATAGTATATTACTATATTACTATATCGTATAATAATAATAAAAAAAAGCTTCAAACCAATACGAAATACTATATAATAAATCTACTCACAAATCATCATCTTTTAATATTGCCTTCTTTTGGCCCTATTTTCTTCTTTCAAGTAAATGTAAAAATCTTTTTTTAAGGAAAATGGGGAATTATACAACGAGGGGTCACACAAAATGGACGGTATAGTGTAGAGCACATAGCATATTATATTAGAATATTAGTGAGAAATGACATTAAAATTATTGATATCATATCTATTTTAATTAATTAAATATAAAAGATATATACAATGGCAATTTTATAATTAAAATGAAAATTTTAATTTTAATGTTAACCATTAATACAAATTTATAGAAAAACAAATATCTAATGTATGCTATTTTCAAAATAAATAAATTTGTTTAATAAATATCTAATGTATGGCAATATATATATTGGAGATCAATTTACTTTAAGAGTAAGTTTTTTTAATGATAGTCTTTAAATTAAATTTAATCTAATAATTAAATTATCATTTTTACTTATTGATTTGACCTGATCAGAAGGATGATCACAGTCTGCTCCTGTCCTGTTTGGCTGGTACCTGTCCGGTGATGTTGAGGAGAAAGGTGGGGGTGTACTTGCAAGGAACTCCGATGCCAAAGTAAGATATTTGAGCAGAGCAGTTGCAAATACAGAGGGTAAGAAGTGAATAACTGACCCTCTTGAGGAAGAGGGTATTTATAGACCCCAACGCTGGGCCAACAGTCATTTGGGCTGGACGAACAGGCCCAACCCAAAGGACTGCTAGAGCTGATGTGGCATCAAAAAGACCAGGATGTGGTCTTTGTCCTAGTCCAACCGCTCCACGGTCTCCGGAAAGTACGCCTGGTCTCTCGGGAGTGGGCGGTTGGGTTATGACGTGTTCCCGGAAAAGGGGGAAGCACGTGGAGATCGTGTTATGACCACGGCTGCCTCGTTAGGACGAGGAGGGCATGTCCGCGATGCACCTCGCAGTCAGATAACGTGCCCGACTCATGTGCGTGTGCCGAGCAGGTAATGCGTACCCTCAGCTCCTGCGCTTGTGCTCGGCATGAGGGTCGTATATGGTGGGCGCCATATCTCGGGGTGTGTGTCCGGTGGACCCATTGGACCACGTGCACGTTGCGTGCTCGCCCAACCATCTTTGGGCCACTGCATGGATGCACGACTGGGCCTGATCGGCTACCCGAGGCCCAGTCCAGAACACTTATAATTATTCGATTAAATCTAATTTAAAGACTATGATTGTGGATATATATATATATATATATATATATATATATATATATATATATATATATATATATATATATATATATATATATATATATATATATATATATATATATATATATATATATATATATATATATATATATATATATAAAATTAAATGTGATAGCAAAAATAAACTTTGTACTTGATTTGGAAAGTTTAAATATATTCCTAAACTAATCAAGAGAATTTTAATTTTAAAAAATTAAATATATTCCTAAACTAACAAAGAGAATTCTAATTTGAAAAAATTAAATTTATTTCTAAATTAACCAAGATAATCCACTTATAAATGTGATAGCACACTTATATAAATAAATGCTTAAAATAGATGCTAAGAGTCTCGTTTCTTCACAAAATTTGGCCTTTTAAAAAACATGTGTTTTTGAAAAACTTAATCAGTTTATCACATAAAATTTTCATTCTCTCTTATTAAAATTTACGATTGCATCTCCTTTGTCAATCCTTCTTTCAATCAATCAAACTTGGAAATTCCTCTCCAAAAATGTTTAGAATAAAAAATCTCTAAAACTAGTTTTGAATCACAAACATAATCTCTCTCTTTTAGACTTCAATCTTTCTTTAAATTGAAATTGCTATCAATTTCTCTATTGTTTAGCTTTATATATGAGAGGTTATAGTATACTAAGAGGTTGTATTAAGAATAAAAAGCTTAATTTTATATCTATCAAAGAAAGTAAGTTGTCTTAAATTTACTGATATTTCATATGAATTATATATAAGTGAGTATATGTTTTTTTCCATTTAATTTGTAGGCACATCTATAAGACAATAGTTTGGTTTATGATTGTCATGGAATAAAAAATATATTTGACATTATCCGAGAATATTTTAAGAATTAAATGAGGTGATAACAAAAGATTTCAATTGTTTAATATGTAAATCGCATCACTTCATGTTTAATATGTTATTTTTTAATTTATTTTATTATTTATATTTGTAAATATATGATAATCTATCATCATATGAAAAATATAGTATTAATAATAATCGAAAACTTTGAGCTTAATTCTTTTTGTAAATAAATGAAGAACAACATTTACTTGAAGAGAAAAAAATAAGAAGTTAGATAAAAGATGATATTTTATAAGAATTACTATTGACTTATTAATTTACATTACTTTTTATTATAATTTTGTTTTTGAATTTGAATTTACACACTCTATGGTATAATTTGTTTAATTTAAACAAAAATTTGTAAGTTTAATTTTACTCAGTTAAAATAATTATAAAATCTTTACAAGTCACATATTTGACTTCAACTTGACTTAAGATTAAACAATTATGTTATGTATTTTTTTCCATTCATTTTATTTTAGAGAATAATATATATTTGTTGATGGTTCATTTAAAATCAAATCACATTCGATGTCATTTATAACACTAACTTTAATAAAGAATAAGTGTGATACATACGTTTTACAAACATTATAAGAAAAGTTTATACACCCAATTTAAGAGGAAAAAAATAGATGTAAAAGGTTGTTTTCTAATCAAATAACTCCATTAAATTTGTAACACCTAATTTCAGAGAAAATTGGTACGAAATACATGTTCTAAGTCTTTTTTTAGATAAAAACATGTGTCATAAGTTGGTTTCTAATCAGACTACTCTCTGTTAAACTTTATCACAGATTTTTAAAAAAAGTAGGGTTGATTTATAACTGTTTACATCTCTTTGAAGGAGAAAAAATGTGTCGAATATTAGATTTAACACTCATATGTAACACTAGTTTATCACCTGTGTTATATTGATTTACCATAGATTTTTAAAATTGTTGTCAAAATCATACTTACATTTCCAACCATTATTCTGATTAGTTGTCCTTCAACATTTGGAGCATTATTTTGTGGAGGAACTCTTTGAGAAGATGAATTCTTTGATGTTCTAGACATATTTACAAATTTGTCACTCCTTAGACACATAAACACTCAACAATTGACAATGTTAAGATGTGAAGAATGAAAACAAATGTAAAAGCACATACACTTTTTTGTAAAAATAATTAAATTTCTCACAAAAGAGTCTCACCAAGTGTGTCAATTTTGTTACTAGTGTTTTTAGTAAACAAATCACGAGTTTTAATTCACTTAAAAGATTAAACTCAAAAAAAGTCTAAGGACACTTTGTGTGAAACGTTTGAGAAAGTGTGATAGTGTTGTAAGATTTTATGTTTGAATTTAGAGCAATTGGATAAAAGTTCAAAGAAGTAAATGCAGAAGTTCTAAAAAGGATAAAATAAATAAAGAAAAATAGTAAAGTAATTGGCTAAGAAATGCTTGAATTAAGAGTGGACCGCAAGTTCATACATTTCTTAAAAATTCTTTGTCTCTGTGACTCAAATATATGAATTTTACAGAAAATAGAATGAAATTCGAACCCCATTACAAAGTTAAAACTACTAATATACTAGTTACATCAATCATTGTCGATAACAATCATCTTTCCTGTATTCGACATGTATCTTGCGACGTTGACCTTTGTCTTATGATGTGTTTTCATGTGTCTTTGATTTTTGAACTACTTCTAATCGTTCCTATTGTTAAAAGTGTATTTAGGTTTCCTAAGCATTTCTGTCGAAAAGTATACTTGTTGAATTTGTGAAAAGTCCCCTTGGTGTTGAAACCAAGACTTAATCATCTACATTTATTTATACATATCTCATATCTCATATTCACGTCGAAACGGTGAGCGGAATGCCTCATGCTAACAACTACATAAAAAGGGAAAATAATAAAATGGGAGAGGGGTTTAATCGTTTCTATAATTTAAATTTCAATGTTACTTAGTTTATTCAATTTTTACAATAATTGCAAAATCAGTCTAATTGCACTGTGTGCATACCCCTTTTACTTTATATTATTTGCTTGCCTAATATCAAGTATGATCACCTTAATTTTGTAGATGTCAAAAGAAGGCCAAAGAATATGAGATTTGTCATTACATAAAATTGAGGAGTAGGTGAATTTGAGAATGTTAGTCCGAGAAAAGTAACACAAATAAACTTTTAAAAAAATGAGCAAAAAGAACTTTGAGTCGTGGTTAACCTTGCTTCTCTATTGAGAAAATGCTATTTAGGTTAACGCAAAGAGGAAGATGAACAATGGATATTTTGCAAGACTGAATTTTTTCATGTGTCCTTGTTTTAGTAATAAGTAATAATATTAATTAGCATAATATAAGAAATTCAATATTCATCTTAAAAGTTATATATTTAAATTTTTTAGATTAATTATAGTTTTGATTTCTCAATTTTAAATGAATCACAAAATTTATCTCCTATTTTAAATTTAAACAGTCTCGTCTTATAATATTATACTCAAAATTGTTCAAATTTTAAATATGGTGACCAATTTTGTGAATGAACTAATGTAAGGTCAATTTTTTAAAATCAAAATAGTGTATTACTATTCAATACATAATAAGTTTTCAACATTTAATATCAATATACCCATCTATTTGTCATATTTATCAATATACTAATGTTTAGAAAAAAATAGATACTTCGTTACTATTGGAGTCCCCTCC